TGAAAATTTGGATAAATTAGTTTGATGAACATACAATCTTTATAATTATAGAATTTCTAAGCTATCAGTTGCAATAATATTAAAAAAAAGATTGATTTCCACATTATATTTCATCATCAAAACATATAATTTTAGGATTTTGAGGAAAGAAAATGATCATTCTACTGCTATGGAAGAAACTGAGCTTCTAACCGGTAATTTTGGTTTCACAATTCAGTTCTAAACTGTAGAGAACAATTTGATCTGTTTCAGAAATCAATATCTATTGCTTGAACTTTTCAGACTGAAACAGAACATAAATGAACTTCTGACCTTATTAGAACTTATATTTGCTGCTTTTTTTGCACAGATTGGCTAATAACAATGGCAGTAGAAAGTTATCCAACGAACACAATAGGAAAATCCAAACTAAATAGACAGAAAACAAAATATTTTTAAAAAGAAGAAAGATCTGAATATGAAAGTAGAATTCAGACCATTTTCTGACACTCGCTGAATGATGATTTAAGAAAGGTTGGAAAAAGTATGAACAGCTTTCCTAAGACCAATTGAAGCTGCAAAATTATCAGTCCTTTTTGGCTTCCTTCTCCTTTGGCTTGCTTTGTTTTGTCTTCAAGAAACAGAAGCAAGAACAGCATGGACATTGGAATAGGAATTTCATCTCTCAGCTCTGCAGCTCTGGCTCGTTCTCAAGGAAAAAAATAAAGAGGATAAATAAGTAGAGTGTAAGGTGAATTATAGATAGAAATGAACTCTTCACATAGGCTCTCTCTCTCATCTATATCTATCAAGCAAGGTTCCTTTTTCGTCACCTTTAAGTAAAGGGAAGATGCCCAAAGGAGTCCAGAGCTAAGTGGAGCTATGGTTAAATAATTTAAGTCCTTTTTCTCTTAGTATTTTTTACTTGTTGAAGGTATTTGTTTGCCACTTGGAAAAGTTTAGTCCTTATAAGGAGGTCTTTAGTAGGATTTCCTAGGTGGGGGGAACATGAAGAAATTCATGCAACTTGACAAATTATTCTATCTTGCGAAAGTAAAACCACTCACATGGAGAGATGAGAAAATGGGGGCGTATTCTGTGCATGAAGCTTTAAGTAAGGAAGGATTCAACATTTATACTTTATTATTGGTGTATCATTAAAAAACACACCAATCAAGCATGAATCTTGATGCAAGTATGTGAACAAAAAATTTTAAGATTGACTTTGGGATTATTGGAACTCTATTTTTAATAAAAAAATTATAATATAAATGAAGATTTCAATGAGATGAACTTACCCATATTGAAATTGATTTATTGGAGTCCAAATGATCCTAAATAGAGCACTTAAGGTATATTGGGAACTTCACAATACTGTTTGAGAGATTAAACGAATTTTTAAAATCTTGCGTGCTTATAATTAAAATGGATGTCAAAATGAGAGATATCTAATGACCTAAAAATTACTCAATTATAATGTCATCAAGGCATGTAAATGCTTAAAGAGCAATCTTTGAAAGAGAAAATTAACTTAAGGCTGTTTAACGAGTGTTCACAAATTTTGATAAAAATTACTAAAATGCCATTATAAAAATTTATAAATAGTCTCTAATTCTTCACATAAAGGCCGCCTAAAATTAGGAAAGCTCAGAGATATGAAGAATTATAGAGCACTACCTACTGATTGATATCAACAATCACCATAAAAAATTGTAGTTGTCAAAGTATCATCATCCGACCACCATTACCCAATTTTTATATCTCCGATAGATGTCGATGTCTATGATCACTTAGCTACCATCACCTATTGTCAATTAACACTAACCACCTATGTCATCTGACTGTCTTTATCGATTATATATTTATACTAATGCATGTAGTCTCTCGCTATTTTTTCTAGAACTTTCCTTTACAATGATAGAAAGCCAAGAGGGCAATCTAGACTTTGTAATCTTGCCTTCTCCCATTATAGAGAAGAGCATACTGCTATAATCTTCGCATACATAGTGAATTATTTCAACTTAGCTAGGTCCTATAACCTTTTTTTTCTTGGGTTTTCTACGTAAAAACTCGTGCATCTCTTATGAGCTACTCTTATTTATGTGTGAACATTTTTGTATAAAAGTGGTTAAAATTTTATCATAATTCAAGCATAATTTTTCCGCACACAATAGTCATATATTGTATTGCTCCATTACTTCATATTGCTTTTAAAAAAAAATTGGATGTCCTCTAAAGGCAAGCCTCTTTGAAATTGGACAAACTTATTACCAAAATTATTCTTGAGCACTTAGCATAAAAGAACGAAAAATAAGAATTTTATGAAATTGACCTCATATAATTAAAACAATGTTGTTGCTGCTATTGTTGTTTCTACTTCTGCTGATGATAATAATAATAATAATAACCATTAATATTATTATCCTTAACTCTAGTTACTTTGCCATATTGACTCACTAAGGCTTCATTTAAAACAACTTTTTTAATGCTTTCGTTGTTTTAGAAATCAATGAAAAAGTTGTCACAAACGAAACCTAAAACTACAAATCCGCATTCCTTTGTGTTACATCAACTTTCATTGAGTGGAAGGAAAAGGAGTTCAATTTGGTGAAGCATGGTACAATGGTAGGCCATGGTTAACATGATATATTAGTGATTGACATGTTGGATTTTGACATCCCAACCACCCATAATGGGTACATGGATTGCTTTCCAGCCTATTCCAACCATTTAATCACAATTTAGCAAAGCCTTAGTCCATTCCCCCCATACCATTGAAAAGACCAGCAAGGGAACAAGGCTGAAGCAATTTTATTTCTTGCTTCTCTATTATTGTGATGGGGAGCATCATTTCATCATTTCTTGGTCCCATGGCTCAGGTAATTCACTTTTGTCTTACCTCTTGTGGAGCTTGCAGTTATATTTCTCTTTCAAGACCTTTTAACTCAAGCTTACTTCTTTTTGTCTCAGATGGTATTATGAAGCAGATAAGTATGAGTACATCTATCGACAACCAGAAATACTTGGAGAGAGAGAGGAAGAGAAGATTAGGGCTGTCAAAATCGGGTCACGGGTTTGGTGCAGGTCCAACCCGATACTGACCCGTCATTGTTTGACCCGACCCGTTTTTGCAAACGTGTCGATTTTTCGGATCCGAACCCGACCAGCTTCGGGTATGTTTTACTCATTTTTTTATTTAAACTTAAATCAAATTAAAGTAAGATTTACTTCAAACAATTTAAAATAAATCAAGCTTAATTTAGTTTGGGCAGTATGATTTATTATTTTTTGCAAATAGCATTTACTTATTTCATAACAATCTTTTAAAACCCTCTTAACTCAATTAAAAACGGGTCAAACATGATTGATTTCGGGTTTCTTGATCAACCCGAACTCGACACGATTTTACAAATGGGTGAAAATCCCTAACGCAAACCCTAAATTTTCAGGTCGGGACAAATATTGACACCCCTAGAGAAGATATAGAGAAAATTCTTTGATCTTCAAGCCAATAAAACTTCATAATTGAGCCATGGCCTTTACAAGACGAAGTATTTTTTCAACAACAACTATCACCATTTGCTCATAATATTTTTCATATTTTCCTCAATTTGTATAATGGAACAATGCTAATTTGTAGTCATTAAGATAAATTCACACGCACATTATATATGCAAGCTTCAAATCCAACTTCTTTATTATTTTATCAAACACATGGCTAAGCTTACTTTTGCAAGTAAGATTCCACCCATTCAAAATATTTATAACTAAAAAAATTGGCTCATGCCTTACATTATGTTTAAATATATTTCAAGTTACAATGCACATTATTTAATACTACTAAGGTGCTCACAATTCAATGAATTTAAAGAGTTATGAGGTTAGGAGTTAGGTTTGATAAATTGAAATAGTTTTTTTAAAACTAGCCATCTAATGACTAATAACCTGCAAATGATGATAAATTGATCAAGATATGATCCGGATGGTTCACCGAAACCGCAAACGGTATCCGTTTAACCACTTGTTCAATTCAATCTTTAAAAAAATAATAATTCGGCATGTAGATCAGATCAATCAAGGGACCAATTCACAGTCGAATCGGTTGGTTTAGTCCTATTTTAAAAATGCTGGTTAGCAATGAAGTGTTGGATTGTATATAATCATTAACAACAACAACAACAACAACAACAACAAGTATTTATCCCACTACATGGGGTCGGCTACATGAATCATTTTTCTCCATTGTGTCCCATTAAAAGTCAAATTCTCGTTATAATGAATTGTGGGACTAAAAGAGGCTTCTTGAGTCAAAAAAAGGCCAAACCGCACTGCTTAGTATGCTCATGTCATAGGTGACAATCTCCACAACTTTCTAGAGGTAAACAATGGCAAAAATAAGGAAATTTCATGATAAGCTAAAAGAACTGCACAATTACCACTGAGAAGAGTTACAATGGACTGCAACAGCACAAGCTGAAGCTAGCTTTCTTCCAAATGTAAGAACTTTTTCTTCTAGCTTCCTCTGTGAATATTCAATAATATTAACTTACAACTACAACTAATATAGAAAAATTACAAGAATACTGAAGGCTGTTCTTCTCAAACAAAAAAAAAACTTACAATATTCAGCTATGGTAAAGTATTATTCTCCTAGAACAAAATTGGCCACCAATCTAACTTTTGCAAGTGACCCGAAGGGCCATTTGTAAGAAGATTCAGGATTCGTTTGGGACAGCTTTCTTAATGTTTCCTAAAACATTGTTTTAATTTAAAAAAAAAATTAATTAGAATTTTCTGTACTAAAAAGTTGTTTTAAAAAGCAATGAAAGAGTTATCCCAAACGAAGCCTTGAGACGATTTTTTTACTGTTTTCTTGAAGCAGCTTTTTAGTACAAAAAAATACATTTTGTACTTAAAAGTTACTTCAAAAAACAATAAGAAAGCCGTCCCAAACGAAGCCTCAGTCCCAAACTGCAAGCAGTGTTGGAAAACTGAATCCTCCTGGCTATCATCTCCTACTCAGAGCAGAACCAGTCCGAGCACTTACCAATAATCACTGCAGGAGCAACTCCCATCTCTAAAATGATGAAAGCGATGTGAATCCCTGAGAATGATCTCCCTACCAACAAGCTTTGCAATCAATTTGATCGCTGAGTGACAGTCACCACACACCCTCAAATTCTTGATCACTCTAATGGTAGTCCCCGGCGAGGTGCTGATGATAGCAAACGCCACCGCCAATTTCTCACTGTGCACTTTCAAAGCAGTTTCCTTTTCTTCCTCATCCACATCATGCAACACTGAACCAGTATCTGGAAGATATCCAGCTTCCATCATCCTCGCCGTCAGCTCCTCCAAGTACTTGTAGATCTCTTCATGCCTTGGATGCCTCCTGTCACCAACTAAGAAACAGTGGAGGGTTCCCTTGAGCTCAACTAAGCTGTATCCAGGCGGCTTCACCAATCCTCTTTTCTTCATCAGAGCCCTCATTCTTTCCACATCTTTCCACCTTCCTGCATTTGCATAAATATTCGACAAGAGAACATAGTACCCGCAGTTTTTTGGGTCGAGTTCAAACAACTTATGAGCAGATATTTCGCCGAGCTCGACATTTTTATGAGTCTTGCATGAGCTAAGGAGAGCTCCCCAGACCACACAATCAGGCTTCATCTTCATTTGTTTGATCAGGCCATAGGCTTCATCCAGATGGCCTGCACGGCCAAGAAGGTCCACTATGCAGCCGTAGTGCTCAACACCAGGTTCAATTTTGAATTCTTTTCTCATTGCTTTGAACCAGTGCCTGCCCTCGTTGATGAGCCCTGCATGACTGCAAGAAGCAAGAACTGAAACAAAAGTGATCTGGTTTGGCTTGACACCAGAGGAAATCATTTCATGAAAGACATTCACAGCTTCCCGGCCATGGCCGTGCATGCCATATCCAGCAACCATGGCTGACCATGACTTTATGTTCTTTTCATCACCCAATCTGTTAAATGCTCTTCTAGCAGCATCAACCCGACCGCATTTGCAATACATGTCAACCAGCGATGTGCCCACATACACATTATCTTCTAAGCCCATCCTGATCACCTGAATCAAGTTTAGCAACTAAACAAATAATCTTGGTAAATTATTCAGAAGCAGAGGAGTAACTGCGCACCAATAAGAAAATAATCTAGAATTTGTGGAAGAAAACGCCGAGATTTGTGAAAGGTTAGGAATAACTTTACACAAGCCTACTGGGAAAAGCCAAGTCATTTGAATAAGAATAATTCTTTTTTTTTGTGGATGAAAAAAAGCCCTATATGATCAAGCATAACATTTAACTTAATGTAAATTGTGTATCCCAAGATACTTTGGCTTCATTCGGAACGGCTTTCTTAGTGCTTCTTAAAACAGCTTTCTAGTAAAAAAATTTTAAATTTTTGTACTAGAAAGCTGCTTTAAGAAGCAGTAAGAAAATTGTCCCAAACAAATCCTAAATTGATGTCCAATTTGACCTGTTCTGATCGAACCGGATGCTAAAAATAGCTCAGGATGTAGCTCAGGATGGTGCGACTCCCAAACAAGATTTGATGCATTGCATCAAGACTGTGAACACCTTAATTGTTCTGATTGTGGTCTGAATATCCCTTAATCAATTGAATCGGTTAAAGATTGCCCACCCAAATTGGTAGGCCTGGCCAAGTGGGCTGGGTCTACCTTTTCTGTGAGTGGTAATAACCCGCATGCAAGCCAACAACTCATTATGAATGAGGCCTCGCCATCACCAGCACCATCAATGACCAAGGGAGCTATCATATCAAAAATTGGGTTTTTCTCGCAGCAAGAGATCAACAATGACCTGCGATGACACCAATTGCAGCATTACCATGCAATTGACTCCCAAAGGTCAAGAACTCTTCAAGTCATCGAGCTTATATTTCACAATATTATTGCTTGAATCATTCGTCTCAAAATGCTTCTCAGGATAGAAGTTGGTTGATCCATACAAAAGAAAAAAAATGGACACATGAAAGTACCCTCTTATTTCTACCTGATTCATTGACGATATGATGAACCCACTCAAAATTGTTCTCATCAACCTACCCATCCAAAAATCAATCTGCCACTATCAATGCCCTCTTAACATCTTAGCCATTTCAAGATGTCGTGAGCTGTGGTCGCCTCCAAAGGCTTTCCACAGGCTGCCCAAGGTAGTTCGAGTTTCAGAGTGTTACCCTGGTTAGCCCAGGGGAAGCTATCTTTCAGTTAAATTTCGAACAAGAAATGATGCAATCTCAAACTCCATTATTAGTAGAAAATCTTTATAAGAGATTTCAGATAAAGTCTAAGATAATATTCCTCCATAAACCGACAAACATGATCATTTTAAATTTTTGAGAGATTTTTCTCCATTATTGAAAAAGCTCTGAAAAAATTCCCTAAAACTGATGAAGCTTGCTGGCCCTTATCAATGAATGTTCTTGTTGCAATAGCAATGTCAAACATGAAGTATATAACGATAATGATCTCGTTGCTTATCACAAACACTTTTTCATTCCTAATCAACTAATTACCCTTTTTCATTAATTGCAACCGAATTATAGGTTTTCATTCTGCTTTAAATGGTAAACGAAACATACATAGCACAAGCACTGAAGATTCTTCTTAAGCTTCTTGCTAACAAGGAATCAACACGCAGCATGACAGTAGATACAAACATCAACACTTTTGTTTCCCAATTGAGGAAAAGAAAAGCTTCCTCTCTTGAAGAAAGAGTTCAACAATTGAAGATGCTCGCAAAGAGACCCTTTATCATCTTCAAGAAGCTAAGTTGTCTCCCTAAGCAGCAAAATAAGTATAGGGGTTATTCTCGGTTGTATCCCCAATAGGATGTTCATGACAGCTTTTTAAGCATGTTTACAGTCAAGTGGTATCATTCCATTGTTATCAAGCATCAAGGCACATTCTATCCCTCAGCTTACATCCTCACGTAAGGGGCAAAACCCCTTGCCGAAATCATACATGTGGTCAAACACATTCAATAGAGTCATAATTGACCAGCACCCTTGCATCAACAATAATAAGGTTGCCAATACCGTTAGTCCCTGCAATACGTTTCTCACCATTCTTAAGCAACCATCAAGGTGCCACCTTGATAATGCTAAATCTGCACATCCTCATTGGAGAGAGCATTAAAAATCATATTCAAAAGAAAATCAAGGGATTTCTCTTGTATCAACTTGAAAAGGAGTGTTCTTTCAACATATAAAAAACATTCAAATCAAACATCATTTGACTATCAAAAACTCACTTTTTTGATATTTTAATGACTCTAGAGAAGTCTGATAGGAGCACTAGTAGCTAATATCCGAAAAGCCTCTGAAAATATGGGATAAAAGTCATTAAAAAAACACAAAGTTTGCACGGGCTTAATTACTTTGATCAACTTTCAAACGGCCAAACTCCTAAAAAATTCACCCAGCAAAAGTAATATTTTAAAGCTTCAGGTATAGAAACATATTGTTTACTTGATGTAGTCAAGAATTATCATTTTATGTATTTTTTTTTTATTTTCTTGTGTTTTTAGACGCTAAGTAATTTTATTTTGTATTGCTCTATGATGAAAAACAACTAATGATCATGCTGGGTAAAGTGCTCTCAGGTTAGTTCACTCCATTGCCTTCCTATTGTGTTAATCTTGCTTCCTTGCTCCTGTCATCTGCTATTTTTTTTCTCTACTGTCTGCTGTTTTTCCCTGTTGTCACCAAAATTTATGCGAGCTAGAAGCATCTTTAATAAAGATTTCCCACATAAAAAAAAATTACACATAAAATTGCCAAACACAGAAGGAAGCAAGGTGAAGGCTGCAAGCATTAGACTTAAAACACCAAATGTAAACACAAACAAAATTACTAGCATTTTCAAGTTTGAGGCTCGTTCAAAAAACGATTTGATTTGGGAATTATGACTCGTTTGGGGTGTGCAACTGTGCACTCGCATCACCTCAAGAGCGGATTTGCTTCAATTCCATCCTCTTTGGCAATATCTAAAAGCTCAATCATGACAAACTCGATGGTGGAATTCACAGGTCCAGTAAAAGTTACTTTTGCCTTCTCCCCTTCAATAGTGGTTATAAAAAAGGTTCACTCTGTGACTACTTTCTTGGTAGTAATTTCAAGGATAGACAAGTTTGCAGGATGGGGAAGATTCAAATAACTCTTAGGATTGACTGAGGCCCTTAAATCAACCTCTTTAGTCGCTTAAGAGGATTCAATCTTCACTTTTTTAGGATGACGCGGTTGTGGTTGCAACATTACTTCCATAAATTTGCATTTCTTATGAACCTTTACTATTTTATTTATGTTTCCGCAATAAAATGGAAATGATATCCGAGCGAGAGAGGCTGTCCAGCTTAGGGGTGTAAGTGAGCCGAGCCGGCTCGCGAGCCAACTCAAGCTCGACTTGTTTATGTGCTCGCGAGCCAAACTTATCAAGCTCACGAGTCAACCTCGAGCTCAAATTCGAGCTCGTTTGAAAGGAGCTCGAGTTCGAGCTTGGGCCGGCTCAGCTCGCAAGCCAGCTCGAATAAATATTAATATTTTTAAAATAATTTTATTTTATTTATTAAATCTATTCCTAGCAGAAGAAGAACATTCCACACAATCCTCCAGTCAATAATCTACCAACTCATCTATTCAAACAAATAGGTTAAGAAGTTTACAAACAGATTAGATCATTACAAATTGATGGTAATTCAAAATGAAGACACTTTACAACAACAACAACCAACAAGGATTTGATTTTGTCAATCATCTTCATCGAATAGATTACAACATATTTTCTAAAAAGTTATCAATTAATGAATGTTTTATCGATAATTTATCTTGTTTATACCAAATCAATCTCCATCAATTGGAGAAATATGATGGAATCAGATTGAATCAACAAATGAAGCAGGAAAATTACTCATGTGTCGTTTACTGTTTAACATTAAACGTTCCTTCAATGCAATCGTTCTCCAAACGGAATTGAATCACTTCAAATTGAATTAATGGCAAATGAAAGTTTAGGTTTTCTGATGGTCATTTGAATATAATACTTTACGTATCTTAAAACCAAAATTGAAGAATGTTATTTGGCTATTTACTTATCTATAATTCACACATCTACTATGATATATTAGTATAGTTATAAGAAATACGTTTTTCAATAATAAGTAGCTCGACATATCCTTCCTATACGATAAAATTTACACCATTCTTACGCGAAGATATTTAATTTTTACATCAGAACTGGTTGCACGTCGTTCATCACTCAAGAGGGATTTTGCTTCAATTCCCTCTACTTTGGCAATATTAAAAGCTCATCATGACAAACTCGATGGTGGAATTCACAGGTCCAGTAAAGTTACTTTTTGCCTTCTCCCTTCAATAGTGGTTATAAAAAAGGTTCACTCTGTGACTACTTTCTTGGTAGTAATTCCAAGGATAGACAAGTTTGCAGGATGGGGAAGATTCAAATAAACTCATAGGATTGACTGAGGCCCTTAAATATCAACCTTTTAGTCGCTTAAGAGGATTCAATCTTCACTTTTTTAGGATGACGCGGTTTGGTGGTTGCAACATTACTTCCATAAATTTGCATTTCTTATGAACCTTTTACTATTTTATTTATGTTTCCGCATAAAATGGGAAATGATATCCGAGGCGAGAGAGGCTGTCCAGCTTATGGTCATTGAATTCAATCTTGGTAGAAAGTATAGAGAAAGTAGATGCACAAGGCAAGAAAAAGAAAAAGAATAAGAAGACTATAAAGAATCATGAAATGAACTCAAAGCAAATATTTATAAACTTTCTATTGACGTTGATGTATGCAAAAAAAAAGTTAAATCAATGTAATCAATCGTAATGAATGTGTCAGCTCATCAAGGCTAATTCATTTATGCAACTTTATCACTTATAATTTGCTAAAGCCTTATGTCGTCAGAGGAAAATTCTCTAAAGTTGCATATGTCAATTAGCTTCAAAACTGAAGTGGCTAAAAAGGATCTACTAGCTTGAAAACTAGGGTGTCAATATTTGACCCGACCCGAAAACCCGACCAGGAAAATCCGGGTTGGAAAC